CCCGCCCCAGCCTCGGTGGCCGCGCTCGCCGCCCGGGGCTGCAGCTCCGCGGCGCCCACTCGGGCACGCACCCCGGCGGAGCCCGGCGCCGCCGCGCTCCCCCACCCCGCGCCCGGTGTCATGAAAGCGACCAAAGTGACAAGCTCGGGGGGCGCGGGGGAGGGGGCCCACACGCATCCCGCCGCCTGCGCGCCGGCGAGAGCCCGACGCGGCCGCCTCGCCCCGGCTCCCTTCCGCACGGCCCCCCACACCCTTCCCCGTGTGCGCGCAAAGAAAAAAATACAAGTCTCTCCTCCCCCCATTTTTTCCTTTCTCTTTTCTCTCTCTTTTGTTCCTCTTTCACACTCGCACTCACTACTTGAGAGTGAGATGCCCAGAGACTCCCCCTCCAGCCGTTTCCGAGCCACTTGCCCACTTTTTTCCCCGGGATTAAGTTTTCTCCTCTTTCCCAGAGGCGCAGAGAAGTGGGGGAGAAACCCCTTCTGTCCTTTCCCCTCCCCTGATCTGTTTCACAAGACGAGGGTGCGCTTCCTTCTCTCTATAGGTCTCTTAACTTTCATCCGCACCCAGAAAAATAAATGAATGGCTTTGGCACGGACAAATCTTCTGATTAATTAGAGATTAGATCCGATCAACCGCTTCTTACCCCCAAATTTTCTCTTTTTTTTTTTTCTCCGTCTCACGAGTAGTCCTGACAAATGGTCCAGGGCTGCGGGCGCAGTGCGCATGTGCGCGTAGAGTCAGGGCTGGGGAGAGGGGAAACTGCGCTGGTGCCGCCGCCGCCGCCGCCGCCGCCGCCGCTGCCGGGGAGGCTCGCTCTGGCTTCCCTGTTACTGCTGCTGCGCCTTCGCCGCTGGAAAGCAGCAATAAAGCCGGTTGGCAAATGCAGCTGCCCGCAGATACTGTTTCAGGTGCATCTTTTCAATATCCTTGTCCCCGGCTCAGAGCTGGTTCGGGAGCAGTCAAAGCAAATATGAAAGACTGCTCAGGTTATAGATTTCTTTGTCTATTTTTCACTTTACTTTTTTTTTTTTTTTTTTTGAAGGCAATTCTCAGAGCAGCTAATCCCGCACGCACTGTACATGTATTCATTCGGCCATTAAAGAGTGGGCCTTAGTCTTATACAAACACTACCCAAAGGCTTACATGCATGCTACAGGTCATGAAAAATAAGAAATAAAGTTTGACGCTTTTACGCGGTGGAACCTCCCCCTATTTGGGGACTGGAAGCATGCATAGGAAAGTGTGTGTGTGCAAAACTTGCTTGATCTTTCGGTTCCTGAAGTGCTGGTCTTTATTGATAGCTTCAACATGTTAGGCCTCTGTTGTGAAAGATCTTGGAATTGGTTCATCAACTTAGAAGGCAGTGTTACCCTACCCTGGCAATAAACCCATGGAGGACTTACCCTCTTCGCGTACCCCGTCGTCGTCAAGATGGCTGAGTCGTCCTAAATAGCAAAACCTGTCTTTGTTAAGGCGTCAAAACTAGATCAAGGGAGAGTATTGTTTTTCAGTATTGACGGCCTTCCACTTATTGACTGCAGGCCTCCTTTCGGCCAGCTCACCATGCCCCTCTTCTACCAGACACAAGTATTGCAAAACAATTTGAGTAATTGAAGTTGTGATAGCCATTTTCATGTCAATAACAGTTTGCGGTTTGGGGGGGGGGGGGGGAAGAGTAGCACGTGTGATTTCAAGAATGGCAGAGGCAAGTCTTACATTTTGCACGGGTGGGAAAGTGAGGGAAAGGCTCCACCCCTCAGAGTGGACTATTTATTTTGCATCTCGTAAAAGGTAAAGGAGGCCTTTCCCCAAAATTACTGCCTGAGGCCTAGAATTTAAATATATCACAGATGGAAATGCCGTATTAAAAATCCTTCCTCAAAATGTAAGTAATATTATTTCTTGATTGAATTTTCTTACTTCAGGAATGTTCCTTGAACCAGTTTCAGAAAATAAACTGTTAATTTCTTTCTTTAGGACCATGAAATTACCCTAGAGAAACTGACCACCCCACAGTTTCTTCCGTTGGTATAGTGACTAAATTCTCCAAACTGAAAATCAGGACATGTGGCTTGCCATGTACTCAAGAACAAAGGAACAAACCCAGGAAGTGAAAATGAGCTTAGAAAATATGCTTCATCCGTTGGGCAGTCCTTGGTTTAGGGGTGTGAAGTGCAGCGGGCTGGGTTAGTGAGAGCTATAGATAATCTCAGACGGCCAGTTAACTATTGATTTCACCCACCACATCCAACCCTTTTCAGGGCTGCTCCCAAACAGCCTAATTAACTGATCTGAATTTCAGCTTCTCTCCGTTTCTCCCTAGCCCTTGAATAATAAGCAGTGAAATGGCCAAAGGCAGACTATAGGAGGAGCAGGGAAAAAAAGGCCATGAACTATGTGCAAAACTAAGACCACACACACAAAATAATAATAATAATAATAATAATAATAATAATAATAAAATAAATAGAAATCTTAAATTTGAGATTTTTCTTTGTAAAAAACCCATTTTCAATTTATTTTCTCTGGATAAGTTTTGGATGATATTTCTGTTTCACATATATTTTCAGAGATGATGGTTCATCAGTGTGTAAATTTATCTTAATGGCCTACCTGTGCTAAGCACTCTGCAAGGTGCTAGGGAATAACAGCAGACAAAAACTAGGCCACAAGGAATTCAGTCTGGCAAGAGAGATGTCTGGCAAGCTGGGCATTGCATTCTAGTACGGTGTGTTGTAGTAAGGTATGCGGAGCAAGTACGTTTGAGGAGCACCTGTGGCAATAAGGACCGGCTTTCCAGGAAAAGTCATAGCTAAGCTGATGCTTGAAGGACAACCATCCTTGCTGTGTGGTTCCACTTTTCCTCTGGGAAAGTGATCAAAGAAGAGGAGTCTGAAGGCTTAGAGAGCTAGGCTTGGGAGTGCCTGCATGGCTCAGGTGGTGAAGCCTCTGACTTCAGCTCAGGTCATGGTCTCGGGGCTGGTGAGTTCGAGCCCCGCGTCAGGTTGTCTGCTGTCAGCACAAAGCCTGCTTAGGAGATCCTCTGTCTCCCTCTGTGTGCCACCCCCCTCAAAAATAATAATAATAATAATAATAATGATAAACATAGAGAGCAAGGCTTGCCTGGGACCTGTGCACTTACTGAGGTTCACTAACAAAAATAAAGATGAGTTGAGGCTTTCTGCAATATATTGCTTTTCTCCTCCAGAGATCATCAGTAAAACCTCAAAGATTTCATCTCAGTTGTTCCCAAGATGTAGTTCAGGGTAGGAGATATTTTGAAGGTACTCACATGTAAAAATAAGACTGCTACCACATTTTTCTACAAAGAATCCTTTAGTGCCACCACCTGAGACAGAGGCAGAATGCAGTATTAGAATCTAGATAACTGTGGTATTCTTCGTATACACTGGTACTATTTAAAGGACCTCTCTCCATCTGCTCCCTAAATGGTAATATACTAGTAGAAGCTTCTTTGCTGTTCCTTCACCCTTCCACCATTCAGCTACTGGCGAATAATTCATGATGAATCCTTTCTTTCCAGTTTTACGTAATGTCATCATCCTCCACCATTCCCCACTTCCCATACCACCCTGCTCTATTCCCTCACACCTACATACCAAATCCATCCTTCCGATGAGATTTCAATTTCCTTCACACCTCAAACTAAAGTATTAGCTCAGTCCTTTAGTATTCTTTGTATTGATTTATCTAAACACAGGCTTATTCCCCCAAAATGACTTCAGGGTGCTCCATTCCTAAATATTCTGAAGCTAAAGTTATTTGACATAGAAAATATTTAAAATTTTTTTATTATTATTATTTTTAATTTATTTTTGAGACAGGGAGAGACAGAGCATGAATGGGGGAGGGTCAGAGAGAGGGAGACACAGAAT